CTCAGGGAGATTCTTAAATGGAATGTTGCTTTAATTACTCAGATAAAAAAAAAAATTCAAGGCCTGGCCAAACGAAGAGACATGTCTAGAAACTGTCTCCATGTCGTGCGGAAATACAAAGTGTAAGAAGTCTTCTCGAAAGCCACCCCCGAAGGTAGAAAGTAATACGAAGAAATACTATTACCAGTACTATTTGACATTCAGAGCTACTACTAGAGCTTGTCAGATCTGTACGGCTGTAATTGGTTAGATTCTAGAAGCCTCCAAATAAATAAAGCGTCATTGCGTTAAAGTTTTTTTCAGTCGATCAGTGGGAAACCAGTTTGCCGATCATGGAAACCGAAGCGCAAAATGCTTGTTAGACCGAACATCGCGTTATTTACATTTCATAAGAACTATATAACTAAAAAAAAAAAATACCTTCTGTTTTGGCGTCGGGTTAGATAGAGATGGAAAATTTTTAGATCGCGGGCTTTGGATCTGGTATATCTCCTTGAGAGCTCTTGAAGTTCTTGAGCATCCACCCTGACTGACTCATGCGAAGCTACGTGACGTAATTTGGCATCAAGCAGGGCACAATTGGCTGTAAGATGCTGGGAATGGTTGAACCGTCCTAGCTTTGCATTTTTTGTTCTGTTTTGGAGGTGTCAGCCAGATTATTAGCTATTACTTGGCGCTAAACAACCTATCCTACTAATAAAAGAGAGATTCCGGCTAGCGGTAAATCTACGGAGTACTAGAAGTGCTCGCTGCATGCTCGCCATCTGTACTTTACTAGAGTGCTCGCTGCTCGCCATCTGTATTTTCTAAAGTGCTCGCTGCTCGCAAGAAAGATTGGAAAACTGCTCGTGCTCGCAAAAATAAACACACTGCTTGCATGCTCGCAAAGACCATTCGATACTCCTACTTCGTTCTCCCTCGCTCCATAAGGACGGGTAGGAGATGACCCTGGGAACAAGGTTGGTTCAAGTTGACAATAGTTAACAACTATTCACAGAAGTGGAGGTGGTTAGTGGTGGATATTTACCGAGCCGCGAAGCGGCGAGGTAAATATTCACCGCTAACCACCGACACTGAGGTGAATAGTTGTTTTTAGTATATACTAAAACAGTGAGATAATATACACCACCAAAAATTGATTTTAATTCATACATTCCAGCAACGATTCCAACATTTTCCCGCGCGTAACGATCCAACACGGCTCGGATCGCGGTAAGTGATTTTTTGTTTTTGTTGTAAAACCTGCCGTCTCGTTTTTTCGCTGACAGATAAAATTTCTGAAGACATTTGTTTAGCTCTGGTGGCGACATTTCTTCAAATGGTGTTGCAAACTCTTTCTGTATTTGAAACCATTCTGTAAAAAATACCATTTAACTTTGATTTTCAAGTGAACAAGTGAGGTTACGCAAGATTAATTTGCATTTGTAAACAAAACCTTTTTCATTGGTTTTTATCGATAAACTCCCGGTTACCATTACCTTTAAACACGGCCAAACCAAATTTAGTCGCTTTCTGTGTTTTCAGGGACTGCTTCGTCGTTATTTGAGTGATTTCTTCGCTTGTCACGGATGCAAACCGGCACGCCATTTTTTCCC